AGAGTGCTATTAACAAAATTAAAGTTAGGGGTTGTAACTAAGGGATGAATATTTAGGGGATGATTTTTTTCTACGCCATATTAAAGTGTATTACAAATAGAATGGACCACTTTTTGTCCCATTCGAAAATCTCTATTCGTTTAAGAGTTATAGCGTGGGTAAATTAGTCTGGGACACCCTGTATGTATTTTACCCTCATTAGGTATCATAAGAGCGACACATTTGCTCTGATGATATCTAACGAGGTTGAAATACGTATAAGCGGATGCCGTGCATCGAAATTAAATCTAATATTGTCTTTGTATAATAAATACGTGGTTGTAATAGTAATTTATTTTATCAGAAGAGTTTTTTAGTCCGTCTCATACTTGCTATTTTAATATGTGGACTCAGAAGCGCCATGTGTACTGATACAACTTTTTGAGGCGCGTGTACTGAAAGGTGAAAGGGGGGAACTGGCGGGCTGCTTTTTCCTATAAAATGTCGGATTGGAGCGGCAATTAAATGTGCCACATTGTGCGGCAATTGTGAGCCACAAGAGTACTCTTGTGGCTCATAACAACAGAGCTTCCATCTCCTTCCTGCCCCTCTAATGGACAGTTCAATAGGTGCTGTTAACTGCCAGGGTGTTCGGAATAGGCGACCCCTTATTAAACATATCCTTCAACATCATAATATCCAAATCCTAGCCCTCACCGACACCCTCTCAAAAACTGATCCAACTTTCCCCGGTTACTGCACGGTACACCGTCCTAAATGCCAAATATCTCGCGGTATTGGCTTCCTTATTAAATACGGTATCCCCTTTTCCCCTCATGTTACACCTATGCACCTTAACCTCAATGATGTTGACTTCCTGGCAGTGGACATTCACCTAGACAATAACACGACAATTACAATAGTCTCTTATTACAAACATCCTCATCAGGACATGTCCGAGATTTTGTTCGATTATGTCTCCAGCCTCAATAAGGCTATTATTCTCGGCGATTTCAACGCCAGACACGTTCAATTTGGCGACACCGCCACAAATAATGCAGGTAACGACTTCTCGGATATGCTCATTAATCTCCCTATTCATCGTATCCGTAATCGTGCGCCGACTTTTGTGGGTCACCAGGGCATGTCGATAGTCGATCATATTGTATGTACGTATGATGTGATCGATCTGTTAGGTGACGAATGCTTTCTCGGTGACTCCATCACGTCGGATCACTTACCTCTACTGGTTAAAGAACAGATATTTACACCCACCCCTCCTGCACCACCCAAAGTAATAAGAGACTATAGACACGCTGACTGGGACCGATACAGAGCCTTTCTGTCAAATAATATTCCTGAGTTAGGCAACTTAGCACACACAGATGATATCGATTTAGGTATCACGGCCATCTCAAATCTGATAAATCAAGCAATTGATATATCAGTCCCTAATAAGGTTATCAACCCTAATAGGCCTCCTTTACCGCAATACATAATCAATAATATCAAACACAAGAGACGACTCCTACGTCAGTTTCAACGCACTCGAAATCCCCTTATCAAAGCAGAATATAACCGCATGTCAGCGGTGATCAAACTACAGGTGAAAGAGATGCAAGTCAGACAATGGCGGGCAGCCACCTCTAGTCTTGATTTCCGTGACGGTGGTAAGTTCTGGCATAAATTCAAGTGCCTAACTAAACAAAAAACCAATAATCCATCTCACATTATTGTGAACAATCAAATCATTAATACACATCAACAAAAGGCCGAAGCCTTTAAAAACCATTTACAAAACACATTAATCACACCTAATAATCCTAGATTTGACCACGCCTTCCTGACTAAGACTGAAAGAGATGTAAACAGACTACTCGGCGCCCCTTTCGATCCTCAGGTGCCGCATGACCATCCCATCATGGCACCTGTGGATCAACAAACTTTCAAAAATTTTTGTCATATCGGCAAATCGAATTCACCGGGTCCTGACAACATTGCCAGGAGCTGCGTGAAACAATTTCCTCCGAGTGTCTACCTCTATTTAACAAATATCGTCAATGCCACTCTCAAACTCTGCTATTTCCCTTCTCAATGGAAAGTAGCAAATACAATTATGCTCCTTAAAAAGGGCAAACCCCGCACAGATCCTAACTCTTATCGGCCGATTTCACTCACAAATGTTTTAGCAAAAGTCTTTGAGAGGATCCTAAAAGAAAGACTCATTGACTTCACCAACGAACACAACATCATTCCCTCTTTTCAATTCGGCTTTAGAGAAGGGTGCTCTACTAATACGGCATTGACTGAGATTGTCACACACATCACTCAAAGTCTGAACGACAGCAAACTCGCATTAGGTATTTTCCTCGATGTTCAAAAAGCCTTCGATCAAGTCTGGCATGTGGGACTGATCAAGAAACTATTGAACATTGGACTACCAATTCCTTTCGTCAGACTAATCCAATCATACGTCTCTGAACGTCTGGTCCGTGTTAAGGAACGTGGTCATTTCTCCGATTCCTTTACTCCAACAGCCGGAGTACCTCAAGGCTCCGTACTGGCACCCATACTTTACATAATATACAACAGCGACTTCCCCAATACTACTCGTAACAGAACCACCACTCTACTTTACGCAGATGATACTGCTCTGGTTACTACAGCAACGAACGTTGATTCTGTTCTCAGGAATGCTCAAAATCACCTTAGACTAGTCGAAAACTGGTGCAGGCGATGGAGAGTGTCCCTGAATCCGAACAAAACTCAAACGATTCTTTTCAGACACCCTAAACACAGCGTACGCGCGGCCTCCTTTAACGAAAGAAACTATCTCACGCTGTGGGGAGATCAACTCCAACTCCGTGATCAGGTCGAATACCTCGGTGTGAAGTTTACACAAACTTTGAACTGGAGGGCCGACTTGAGCTCAGCCTGTGCTAAGGCTAGGAGCAGATTGAGTCTCCTCAATAGTTTGAGATGTAATTTCGGGGCCACGCACTCTAGAACATTAATTTTCACATACAAAACTTTTATTAGACCTATTTTTGAATACCGATCAAACATTTATAATACAATACCAAAACCAGTCAAAGAAAACCTATTAAGCCTAGAGCGGAGGATTCTGCGTAGAGTGAATGGCAAACGAAACGACTACCCTTCAGCCCTCATTCATCAACTATCTAATATCCAGCCCATAAATGAGAGACTACACTCTCTGAGCAGAAGTTATACTACACGCACTATCCGGAGCCAAAACCTCAGAGCTCAACGCATCCTAAAAACTGTCTGCTCTTCCCGCGGCAATGTATTCACCAGACATCCTAAACCCAAAATCCCACACCTACCCGCAATTCTACTGGAACTCGCCAGTAACGAACTCCCTGATGAATACATTGACATACAGGAGGCAACTCCCCTCTATTTTCGTCGCATTCCAAGCTAAATTGCTCACTTCGAGCTTGCCTAGACAGGGGGGGATCGGTTTTCTGCGGTTTCCCGATCCCACTTGCAAATGATACCTGTCTATTTTGAGGATACAGCCGCAGCTGCCCTCACGCGTCGCGATAACACATTTAACACATTTACTATTTAACATATTAATGCATGTATTTGTACATATATTAATATTGCATTCTGTACATATATTAATTTAACATTCACTAACTTTCACTAATATATTTTTTAGAAAACAATTCTGAAAAGAACCGACCACTACCTTTCTCCGCTGATTGCCCTGGCTGCACCCACCAGTGGACCACGAAGCAAAGAACCAGAAGCCAAACACCAACAACCCAAGAACCACATCCTGAAGAGGCAAAAGCCTATAACAGGATGCCAAAACCCAAAACAAAGAATACCATACCAAAAAACACAGAGAACCAACGCAACAATGAAGTGTGTGGCAATTAAATATTGTCTAACTGCGTAGCATCTCAAGCACTTGCTAACTCAATGTCTAATTGCAATTCACTTTTCAAATAAATGCACACTACGTAATTTTCTTTCGTACAAAGCAGAAAAGTAAGAAGTTAGTTTTGGTTATATAAGTTTGTATATTTTTTTGCAACAATGCAACGTAAAATAAAGTACTTTAATTTTATCAAACATTTATTATTACCACATCGACTTAAAAAATTGTTTCAACGAATTATTATTTAATCCAAGTCTACATACTTAGCCAGTTCCAACGTCTGGCCCGCTACTTGTGTTTTAGAAAGAAGACAATTCACAACAACTTCCTCTGACGGAAAATATTTAATTCCGATGGGGCCTGCTGGGACAAAATACGTATAAGCGAATTGTATAGTCACTATACGTGAAATCACATCTTAACTGTTTTTTATATTATATCTGTATTTACTCGTATTTTGGGTATAAGACACCAGTTTACGAAAAGTTCTTGTGTAGATAAATCGATGTGTCGTGGAATGCAATTATAGATTCCCCAAGTCGGCCATTCATCGCCTGCTTGCTTTGAAAATTGTAGAAGACTCAGATTTGAGCAAAAATCTCAATTTTGTTTTCGAACACCTAGACATCTTCGGATTTCTACTTTTTGTTTTGTTCACTAAACTTAATTCATATGTTGCTTAATAATAATAGTCTCCCGTTTTATACCGCACGCGGCTTTGGGAGTATAGCAGGGTAGTCTGCTATATCTAGGGCCTACGGTATACAAGGAAGGTAACATGGCCAGTGCTACGCTTCAACCGCCTATTATTACCCCTGGTTTTACCCAAGGTACTCATTTTATTCAGGCTGAGTCGACCTGGGGCCTATAGACATTTTTAAAAATGCCTAGTTGTTCTTGCCGGCGGTAGGATTCGAACTCACGACCACCGGCATGCGAGGCAAGCACACTACCGCTTGCGCTACGCGGGCCCACTATTCATATGTTGCTTTATATACTAAAATGACTAAAACTCAGCTTGGTGTTTTTATATGATTTCCTGTTAATTATTACTCTCAGCACTTGGTGCGGCTTTGTTTTATATAAAAAATATTTTTAATATATTCACCTCAGGACTAAAATTTAAATACAACTCCTTTGTTCTCGAATCTCTTCGTAATAAATTTTCTTTTAAATTTATTTCGATTTGTGTTGGAACAACCTCCACCCAACTTATAAATGTTTCTTTTGTAAACTGTCCAGCTATTTCTAAAAACCTCTCAGCTCTTGTTATAAGCGCCAATGATCTTTCACTTTGGACTATACTAAAAAAATATATAAATAATTAAAATAATCTACAAAATCGGGTTTGTAGAATAAAATAAAGGATACATTTACAAACTATTATAGACAGTAAATGCAAAATAAATTTAAATCAAGGCTTTTCAAAAATTAAATTAGGTATAAACAACGAAGACCTCTAATAACAGAAAATAGATCTGATGTTCTTTTCAATTTTTAATTTTTTAATTGAATATTTATATATATATATATATATATATATATATATATATATATAATATATATATATATGAGATGGTGGTATTCTTGACTGTTGATTTAAATATAAGTTGTGATTTTTGAGGATGCAGTCAGTTTATTTGGCCCACAAGACAAAGAAAACTCTTTGACTTACTGTCAAGCTTTCGAATTTTATTTAATTCTTTTTCAAGACATCTATAAAAAGAAATATAAATTAACTAGTTAAAATTGTTAATTGTCTTACTTACTAGTCGTGAGATTACAGTTTTTAATATTGTACTCTACAAAACAAACCATTAATAAATATAATAAATTTTTTTTATTAAAAATAACTATATTGTCACTATATATGTCATTGTCATGGTTTGATTAATGGACATATATGAATGAAAATACAGTTACTTTATGTGGAAAGCAAAACCAGTAACAATAGTTTTTATTATAATTTATTTAATTGTCTATAAAAAATATAAATTAATCCAGTCAGCAGTTTGGCTTAAGCACATATGAATTTTTAATGTTAGGATGTCAATAGAAAATGAGATCTTGACGGTATTTATTGATATGTAAAAGTGATGTAAAAACTAAGAAATCACAAGCTTGTGCATTAGCTGAACACTCCATCAATCTAAATTACACATTTAATTTTTCACAGGTTTCAATTCTAGAGAGGCAGAAACATGAACAGAAACGGTTATTTTTAGAAATGACACATATACAAAAAAATAAAAAATGTGTAAATAGAAGATCAGATATTGACAAATTAAGTAACATTTATTGTTACATATTAACATATCAACACACATATATATATATATATATATTATATATATATATCATATATATATATATATATATATATATAAATATATATGTATATATACCTATATATATATATATATATATATATATATATATATATTTATATTTATATGTATAATATATATATATATATATATATATATATATATATATATATACAGATTGAACCAAATTAAAACGGAACATACAATTTAATACATGTCTGTTTGAACTGCATTTAAAATAGTGGACCAATATAAAACTTGGACAAAAATAAATCCATACCTGGGTATAGACATTGTATAAAATATCGTTCAACTATCTGTCTCGCAACAAAGTTGTTTGCGTAAGACGGTTTGTCTAAGGAGGCGAAAATAGTTCAGGAATTGAAGCTCGAAAAAAGTTAAAACCTCGCTATTTTTTCGTCCTTCATGTATCCATTTGAAATTTTAGCAGAAGGTAGGTAATAGCCCAAGGATCAAAATCTATATCGAACCGAAATGCGCTGAAGGGTTTTAGGGTGAAAACTACCCCTAATTGTCAAAAATTATAAAATAACATATTAAACCTGAATATGGGTAAGATTTTGGTTTGAATTAATTAAATAATGATTATTTTATACTTTTGAATAGAGTTCCATCATATTTCAACCCTTAAAAAGCAACCCTTGTTAGAGATTAATGTAAAAAATTACTAATTCTAAAAAAATGATTTCGCCTTGTATCATTTGGATAAAAATTTGGATTTAAGCTCAATTCACCCGCTGCTTTATAGTTTATGTCATGTCGACGAACCCTGATTGTTCTTAGGGTGAAAACTACCCCTAATTGTCAAAAATTATAAAATACCATATTAAACCTGAATATAGGTAAAATTGGTTTGAATTAATTAAATAATGATAGTTTCGTGCTTTTCAATAAAGTTCCATCATATTTCAACCCTTAAAAAGCGATCCTCATTAGAGATTAATATAAAAAAATTAGTAATGCGAAGAAAATGATTTCACCTTGAAACGACTTGCATAAAAATTTGGAATTAAGCTCAACTCACCCTCTGCTTTATAGTTTATGTCATGCCGATGAACCCTGATTGTTCTTAGGGGTGAAAACTACCCCTAATTTTCAAAAATTGTAAAATAATATTACAAATCCTAAGATGAGTGAAATTTGGTTTGGATTAGTTAAATAGTGAGTTTTTTTATACTTTAAAATACAAATTCATACATTTTCAACCCTTAAAAATCAATTGTTATGAGTGCTATAGGTGAAAACAATTTTTTGCCAAAATTTTGCAACTTTTCAACTTTGAAAATCACCCTTTACAACATTGAAGTTTTTATAAACTAATTTATAAGATATAAATTGTAAAAAGTAGAATTAAATACAAAAAAAATTATCAACATAAAAAGGCACCAGATATTCTTATACATTTACATAAATAGTTGAAAATATTTACATTTATAGGTAAAAACAATTATAATATTAATTTTATTCGTCATCAATTACATCTTCATCGTGATCTATGTCATCATCATCTTCCTCAATTATTGGTGGACTGTTATTGCACCCTTCACCTGAGCACCCAGAACAAGTAGAGTTACAGTATAAACCAACTTTTCTGCACCCATATGAAACGCCGCATCCTTTGTTGCATTGGCAAAAAATAATTTTCAAAAATTTATCGGTGCAGGTTGTTTGTTCATGCCTACGGGTAATAACAAACCATCTTTGGAAAACCATCCCCAATCTGTTGCTCTGATATTTTCATTGCCAAGCCATAGACATATGAGCAGATGTTTTATTCTGTTGTATGGGATTTCAAAATAAGAACGCTTAAAATTTCGAATGTATAACGCCCCACTAGCTAATATACCGGTTTGTAGATTATTATGCTCCGAAATGTACTGTACTATACTAATGGAATTTTCCGGAAAAAAATTAACTGGTTTTTTAAAGTATTTCCTTTAATTTTTAACGATAGATGTTTCTTCAAAAACGATTTGTAGAGGTTTTTAATAGCTACAAGGATCTGTGAATTAAATCTTTTTGGAACCCTTGGTTTTTAAATGGGGTGAGTTTAAAGGGCCCGAAAAAGATGGTGCTTGATCGTAAATCGATGCTTTAAACGGCTATATCTCGCCAAATATTCATTGTACAACAAATCTAAATAAAGGATAATTTTAGTCATTAAAAAAGCTACAATTTGGTAATTTTTATTTTTTTCATATATTCAGTATTTTCTGGCATATTTAAAAAAAGAAGGGTAAAAAATATGAAATTGTAAATCGTTTCTCGCTTTAAGCTGTACTTTTTCTAATACTAAGCATTTTAAATGGGTCAAACTTCTTGGAAGTATTAACAATACATCTAAAAAGGAATTGCAGAAGGGTGAAGATCGATTTTAATTATGGGGGTGGTTAGGGTGTTGTTTTCCTCGATTTTTTCGTAAAAAATGAGGTATTGACCTTATTTTTTTATGATAGGTCTATTTATGCTCTTTAAAAAAAGTTTTGTGAGTTTTCTTCCAAAAATGCATCATTTTCCCGATATTTGACTTTGAATCTTTCAAATTTGGCATTTGAAGAAAACCGCTGAACATTGATATTGTATTTGTAATTGTATTTGTCTTTTTAAAAGCTACAAATTTGTTCTCTACAATTTTTTTAATAAAATGCACCATTTTCGAGTTATTCGCGAAAAATCGATTAAAAACGTGGATTTTTTTCGTCTAAAAGTTGTTACTTTCAATCGCGAATAACTTGAAAAATATCATTTTATAAAAAAAATGTATAGCACATTTTTTGTTTAGAATCACTTTTCTAATCGAAACCTGTAGTTAAAGCGTAAAAAAAATTTTCACCCCGGAGATGGGGTGGCAACCACCCCCTAGGCTTTAGCGCACTTTGGTTCGATATAGATTTTGATCCTTAGGCTATTACCTACCTTCTGTTAAATTTCAAGTCAATCCGCGCCGCACGAAAAAATTGCGAGGTGAAATGCTACATTTCCTGGACTATAACTGGTTTGACAGCATAATCGTAGATTTATGTGTAGCTTTCAATTTTTATGAGTTCAGAATCCAGCAGCCCACTGAAGTATGGATTTTTATAATATAATTATTTGACAATCGTTTTGTTGGCCAACCACTACAGCAGAATTGAGCCGAAATACATTATATTCCTATGTTCCGAATTTATTTCGTTCAATCTGTATAATATATATATATATATATATATATATATATATATATATATATATATATGTATATATATATATATATATATATATATGTATATGTATATATATATACCTATATATATATATATATATATATATATATATATATATATATATATATATATATATATATATAATATATTACTTCTAGCGGTTAATATGGGCTCCGTACTAAAACGGTATTATACTAACTCCAGGAGAATATACGCCGTGTATATTATTATCTGAGTGGCGCTTTATGTAGACTCCGACCAATACGTCGGATCAAGTGGACTCCGTAATAGGATAAACATTTTTGGGATTCCGTATATAACTTTTCCCGTACACTTCTTAACTCCTGCGATGTTGCCAATAATTGTATTAGTAGTAGATTTTTAAATTTTATAGGTGGTACATTTTGGAACCTATTGATATGAACATCGAGTAGCGTAATCGTCTAACAGTTTAAGAAACTCTTCTGTAAGATCTTATAATTTTTCAATTACTGCAGTTTATGGCGTGTAATATTTATTTCATGAAGTAGTTAAAATTAGACTATAGTAATTTATAAATTAATCTTTAATATTATAATATTTTGCTGTCTAATTTCAATATGTTGATTTTTAATTAACAAAATATTTGATGCATTTAAGTCGCGTAGCTATTTTCACCAAACATTCAATTTTAAAGCTATTAGTATAAAAGTCTAAAAAAAAAGTATAAAAATCTAAGGAATTTAATATGGATACACACGTCAGTGTGCTTTTCTCAAGTCTCAAGTTTCTCGAATCCATCAATCATTCATTGTATTTCTTATACTTTCATTTTAATCCTCTCCAATCAAGATTTTAAAGCAGGTTTGCTCCATTAGTCCATTTTTATTACTTTTGTCACTATTTCTTCTTTTTCATTATCATCATCATTACGTGGCGCTACAACACTGGGTGGGTCTTCGCTAACTACAAATTTTCTCGAGTTGATCGATTTTCCACGAATCTGTAATCAAATGAAATGGTAATATTTTGAGATATAATTGGATGTTTTCTCTCCATTGCTTACTGAGACGCCTAAGCGGCATTCTTTCTTCTGTGCTAACTTCCTTCCAGACCAGTTTTACAAGTTTGATATATTGGCGTCTATGCATGTGTCCGATCTACCTTAAGCGATTTATTTTTCTGAACAATATCGTTATAAAAGCTTCTTTATTCAGTATGGGTTCTTATTCTATACGGATTTGTACCGAATGATAATGAGGTTAAAACATTTTTCTAATTATTTTTATTTCAAATATTCGTACTTCTTCCTTATTTTTTTTTTAGTCAATGTCAATGATTCGCATCCATGTATTAAAATAGGTCTAAAATTTGAATTATGCTAAAAGTATTTAGTTATTGACATTATTATTAACAGTGATTATTTATCTAAGATATTTAAAGTGTTCCATATTTTTGCAATTGTAGTTGTTAACTTTAATATTTTATCTAGATTTATTAAATTGGTCTTTTCTGTTGATTCGCTTGTATTTGGTTTTCAGTTCGTTGATTTTTCGTGCTCTCTTTACTTTATTGAAAATGTTTGCGGACGGGAGAGTTTCTTATGAGATCTATGTCATTAGCATATGCTAGGAGTGCTTTGTACCTTGGGCCTTTAATGAATTACATCTTAAATAGGCGATATTTCCATTTTAGTAAGCTGTTCATTAATTTTTTGACTATTTGAATCGACAATCTGTATTTTATTCGACTGTTATAATCACAGAGTTTCTTGGCGCATATTTTCATTCTTGGTTTTTTGTTTCCCGTATCATTATTACAAAGATTTTTCTGGAGATCGACATAGGGAACCCGGTGGTATGTACATGATGTTTTCATAACCAACATCGAAAATTTGTCTTACTGTAAAGTCATAATGATTTTACTAGGAAATATAGTGTTGTTTAATAACAATAAAGTTCAAGCAACAATTCCTATATGCAATACCTTGGTATGATATTTCTGCTCCCCGATACCAAGTAGCAGTCCCGAAAACATTAAAACTGCTACACTCATGTTTCCTATTATCCAAAAAGGAGGTTTTTGGCAATTAAATATAATTTTTGTGTGTTAGAATATTATTTCTCCGAGAAAGTAAAGAATATTTATTTGCTATCCGAATATAATCCATAAATTAAATATTAGAATGCTATAAAATAATGCTACTAGCAGCAAAAACGGTATAATAGTCACTAATGAGAAAATCAAATAAATGTTTTTTAACATACAAAAAAAAATGTAGAGTAAGGCATAACGTACAATAAAGCTATATAATTTTGAAAAGATTGCAGCGTTTTAGATATCGTAGATAACGTTGTCACATAAGAAATAAAAGGAAAATTCAGGTAGCTAACTGATGTATATAGAACCCTTATAACACTTTTAAATCCAGAAGCCTAATATAAATCTCTAAAATCAGGATATATAAAACGGTGAACCAGTGCTAATGTGTGGATATGTAACGAGAACGTATAAATTAGATCAGGATTGCTAGAAAAGCCATCAGAGGTATTTCCCGACTTACAAAGGTCCGAGTACTAACCAATACCGAACGAAACTAATGCCAAGGTCAAACACATATATAAAGATAGCAACGAGGTACAAGAACCTAAATCTCAACTCCAAAGTTGCGCTGGCTTTATCCAAAGGCTCTCTCATTAACTGCATTCCCAAGTTAAATTGGTAGGATGCCCCGAGAGAAAAAATGCCCTTAGGATGTCCACGGATGAAAGGCGCAGATTTAGGAATAATGAGACTACTTACCGACTTACCGACTCATCATATTATCAACACCTGCTATCCTACCTACAATCAATACATATCTGTTGAGGACTATCAAATCAATTACATGTAATCAAACGAACTAGGCTTAAAAAAAGTATCCTAGGAAAGGCACTTCGGAAATATTGACATATATTTTTAAAACGCCATTTATGTGGCTGAGTTTGCAATAGGAACGAGGAGACAAAAAGGAAGAAATGGTAATAAAATCTTGTTGCGTTCCGACTATACGATGACGATGATCTCTATATAACATATAGGAAGAAATGGAGAATAATGTCTATGTTCAATTTAGAACTCGTTGGTTTTCTCCCTTTCGAATTGGGTATGTATATGTATTACCATAGAAAAAATTAAAAAAAAACTATAATTATGAAACTCTATCTAAAATAGTAAAATCGATAAACAAATTATATAAACAAAAAGATTATATAAATCCCTAATATTTAAACAGACTGCTTTACAAAAGGTGAACGAATAAGCATAAATAAATTGTCAACAAAATAAATCAAAAGAATATGACACAGTATATTGCTTAAAAAGAATTCTTATGTGACTATGCTAAAATATGATACGATCGGAAAAACGGCAATGACTTTTACAGCTGATTGCCACATAAATATTAATGTAACGCAAATATGATGATATTGCCTCGTACTGTTATATAGCAATTTGTTGTCACATTGCTGAAAGTTACTTGATGGAAATTCATTGTATCTAACAATAAAACAAGTATGCG